CCCCGAGCTGTGCTGTGTGAGCGGGAGTACTGGGCAGCTCCAGGGGCTGGAGGCAAAGCGGGGTCCGCGCTGCTCCCGCTTGAGCCGCTCGCTTTTCGACGGCAGAGAAAGCCCCTCCGCCGGCGAGAGGAGTGTGAACGGTTTGCAGCGTAATCCTGAGCCGGGAAATGTCATGGGTCACCTGGGGGGGCAGTGCCGCGCTGTGAGGTCGCCGGTGTCCCGAAAGCTGCACCCCGCTGTGTGGGGGTGCTGTGTGCCCGCCCCGCGGCTCGCATTAGAGGGTGACAACTGAAGCTGGCGGGGGTGGACCTCTGGGGGCTGTCATAGGCTACGAAGGCAGTCAGTCCTGCCTCAGCGGGGGCTGTTGGCTTTTTTATTTGTTTGGTCTTGTTTCTTTTTATTGTTTTTTTTCTGTAGTGAAAAAAATTAATTGTTCTCTGAGAATGTGGTGTTAAAGACAGAGACAGAAGAATGAGAGGTGTTTAAACGGTGATCTCTCAGAAAGTTGGAGGACGTATGTTTAGGAGAAAAGCTGATGGAGCTTGTTATGAAGAGTTCACTGTTCTGCATGTTAGTTAATTATGCAATAGCGATCAAAGCAAGCTTAATCTGGGAATAAGTATGATTCCCAAGGAAATACAAACTATGGTTTATTCAATCAGTGCCGAGTTTTAAAAGGGCAGTTTAGACAAACGTGTGTCTATGGTTATCTGGACTCTTTGTGAGTCTTTATGAGAGAGGAAAAACCTCTCTGGAGATCTCTTGCAACAACGTGCTTATAAAAACAGGCTGGACTGTCACTATGAAGTGTTTGAATAGCAACTTCCTGTAATTCCTTGCCTAATTAATGGCTGCTAACTGTTCCTGACCAGCTTTACTGTATAAGCACACATTGAATTTATTTGTGTGTTTTCCTTAAGTGCATCTGCCCAAGGAAATGAACTTGAATTCAAATGCTCGACGGATTGGTTTTTTCCACACTTTCTTTTCAATTTTGGCTGAGGTTTATTCTTTGGTCTGTTAGTATTGGTATCAACGGAGCACCGAAATGATTCAGTAGAGGTCAAGATGCATGAAGAATCTTTACATAGATCATAGACAGCTCCACAACTTCCTTGTTCATTTGCAGTGTTTCCATTTTTATTCACTGAACTTGTGTGTCAAATCTCATCACTGCAGGTTGTTTGACTAAAAACAATTTACACCTGTATTTAGATTCAGCTGAGGTCCTAAAAATTAATCTCTGATTTTTAGTCCAACCGTAATTCTTTCAAAATTATCTTAGAGGATTTATTTGGTTAGTATGTGCAAAAAATTATGTAATGTCTTTTACTCACCTTTACTCAAATCTTGTCCTTTCTGCTATGTGTTATAAGTGTTCTTTCTAGCTTTCCATTATAGTTTCATTAAGAGATATATGGCCTTTTAGTAAGACAACATTGTCTGACAGAAGTTGCTTAAATTTACATGTCAGAGGAAAAAACATTTAACAATTATTTATCATTTCATGTTGCTTCTATATGCCGCTTTTCCTTATATTTGATGACTTTACCTTTGATGTTATGTAAGTGTACCTAAGTGCTAAATATCAAACATTTCTTTTTCTCCAATAGACAGGACAAACAATCTTTGTTGCTGTAACATGGACACCCACAGAAGAAGGGAAAGTCAGAGAACTGGTAACTTTCGTTATTAATGGCATTGTAAAGCATCAAGCTGTGCTCCTGGGTGCTGCTGAGCAGCCTCTGAAGAAAAAAAAGGTGCGTGTTTATTATGTGTCTTTGTTCTATTACTTTGGCATAACTAACACAGTTATTGTCTTTATTAGTAGAAAATTTAGTGAAGGAGAATTAAAAATCGATTAAATTATTCTGCCTGTGAGAATGCCCATTGTCTTCAAATTTTTTCAGTTGAGTTGGAAAGTAGATGCTAGTGCATTACAGCTTAGAGAATAAAATTAAAACATGACCAAAAATCTGTTTTCAAGCCTGGAAATAACTCACGGTGAATTTTGGACTACGTGTTCTTTTTATAGTATTTTTAGGCTTTGAATGAATGCACTGGTAATATTCACTTTTACACATAAAAGTATTTAGAAAGTCCGCATGCTAACTTTTATTTATGGTTCTTTTTTCAGAGGAGTCTTTGGGATACTATAAAAAAGAAAAACTCTTCAGAAACATCTGCTTCAGTAAAAATTAGGAAAAGTAATTCAAATGTTAAAGATGTTAATAAAACATTTGAAGTCTCCCAGCAGGTGGATAGACTTAGAAGCCCACTTCAGCCATGTGAAAATCAGAACACAATGCAAAATAGTATGTCCCCAGGAAATAACTCTCTTGTTGACTCAGAAAATAAGTTGCCTGTATCGCCTATTGCACCAATACTAGAGGAACTTCATAATACTGTTTGCACGCCACTTGCAATGAGAAGATCTACTACATTCTTGGATATTGCTGCCACTGTAAATGAGAAGTTATTGCCTGAAATAGACAGCTATAATGTCAAGAAATTTGTTAATGAGCACAATGAGTTAAAATCTGAAGTCATGTACAGTTCTACTGGATTAGCACAACTGCCAATTTCAAACAATGACGTAACTCTTAATTGTACGCTCTCGCCAGTTTGTACCCCAGAACACTTGGCATCTGTACCTGTTTTAAGTACAAGGAGAATTTTAAGTCCCGATTCTTTTGTAAATAACAGTTATCAAGTGGATATAAATACAACTGAGCAACCTGTTCCAATTCTGTCACCTGATCAGTTTGTGAAAAACAGCTTGTCAGATCACCAATCAAAGACTCCTGAACTTGAGGCAGCTTTAATATCATCTGCTACAGAGACTTATGTTGTGAAGAAGTTCCTACCCTCAAAATGGAAAAAAAAAGGAGACGTAGAGACAAAAACACACGTTCGTATAGAACAGAACTTAAATGAAGTCTTTGAGATGCATAATGTAGAATCACAGGTACTTCATAATGACAAGCCCAAAGAAAATCACTTCAATTTTTATTCTACAGAGGAACTTCAGACTCGCAATTCTCGGAGAGAGCAACCAAAAAAGCGCCCAGTTCTTTCTGCCACTGTCATAAAAACTAAGAGTGGTGTCACTGAAGAAAAAAGAACGGAAACCTGCCAGCCAAAATCTAAAAAATGCCTTAGTAAAGCAATAATTGAAAGTGCTAATGTGGTGCCTGTACATACAAAAGCAGAAATATCTAAACAGCTTCCAGTTATAGGCCCCATTTCAGCTGAAAGTAAGTGTCACAGTGACAAAGTAAATTCGTCGTCTTCTACTGGATCAACTTCTTTGTGTCTTAAGAGGAAAAGTGAAATATATGTAGAAAATAAAGTTACAGCTCCGGTGTATGTGGAAGAAGTGGAAAGAAAAAGAACTTGTACAGCTAGTGTGGACAGTAAAACACATACTATGAGACTGCCAGGCTTCAAACCCACAAACCGAGAGAGAGCAGGGCAGAGAAAGAAAGCTGGTGAGCAGTATTTCCTTCATTTACCGCTTTCTGAAAGATGCATTTGGTCATTAAGTTTTTGTATAACAAACTGAACTGCCTAGCAAGAGTCAGGAATATTTCATATCTCTCAAATGTGGGCCTTTGCAATTTTATCTGCATTTTAAAAATGTGAAAACTAGGTCAGAATTTTGGTTCTGTATTTGGCTTCAAAGTTACTTTATTCTTTTGTAAATCTTGTTAATGACAGTAACAGGAAAAGTATCTGACAGTTCTCAATCAAAGCCCTTGTTGTGTAATTCAAATTTACTAGAAACTTAACTGCACAAGATTTGTCATGTGTACACTTACCATTGCAAGTACCCCTTTGCTGATGTCATGTAGTTCCCAAGTCTCATTGACTCTGCTTGCTTTTTACTGTCTATAAGTTGTTGCCTTGTGGAGATCTTTCTGGCTTTGTAGTTTGCCAACACTTTGTTACTTAAAGATCAGAAGTTGACTTCTTGTATTTTGGGTTTTCTGAATGTTCTGTTCCCAAATATGTTCCGGAATACAAAAAGAATGAATGTCGGTACCTGTAGTTAGAAGTTCGAGAGAGGTTCTCCTGCCTCTCTGCTCTGCCCTGGTGAGACCACATTTGCAATATTGTGTCCAGTTCTGGGCCCCTCTGTTCAAGAAGGACAGGGAACTGCTTGAAAGAGTCTGGTGCAGAGCCACAAAGATGACTGAGGGAGTGGAGCTTCTCCCTTATGAGGAGCGGCTGAGGGAGCTGGGTCTCTTTAGCTTGGAGAAGAGGAGACTGAGGGATGACCTCATTAATGTTTATAAATTTGTAAAGGGCGAGTGTCAGGAGGAAGGAGCCAGGCTCTTCTCAGTGACAGCCAGTGACAGGGCAATGGGTGCAAGCTGGAGCATAGGAGGCTCAATCTGAACATGAGAAAAAAACTTTTTTACTGTAATGTAAGGGCTGCAGAGCACTGGAACAGGCTGCCCAGAGAGGTTGTGGAGTCTCCTTCTCTGGAGACATTCAAAACCCACCTGAATGTGTTCCTGTGTGACCTAGTCTAGGTGATCCTGCTCTGGCAGGGGGGTTGGACTGGATGAGCTTTTGAGATCCCTTTCAAGTCCTAATATTCTGTGATTCTGTGATACTCTTAACTATTTTTCCCTTTTAATTGTAGTCAAACTGATTTGCATAACTTTTTCCTTCAACAGGAGATTATTGGTATTTTTTTATGGATTAGTGGGGAATTACTCTAGTTCCATGCTTTGTAAGTGATATGAACCTTAATACGTTAACTTTCACTGGCATAATTGTTGTTGCTGTTTGTGTTAATGCTAGGTTCTTCACTTCAGAAAGCATCTAAAACTCCCAACAGAAGTGGAAAACTCATCCCTGGGTTGGCCCAGTCTTTCCTGACGTTTGTGAAACCGCTGAAAACAGGTAGGCAGCCTAACCAGGTGTTTTACTAAACAGTATACACTGAACTGAAGGTCACAATTACTGTACTGCTGGGGATTCGTGAGACCCAACTGGTTAGCGTTGAGATGAAATAGAAGATTGTACCTACAATGAATCAGTATCTAGTAGAAAAATAGATGTAACCTTTCATGTTCTGTTTTGACTGTTCATGAGAAAATTGGTTCCAACACGTGGCCAGCTGAAGGTAAATGTTACTTTCCTCTGGTTTTGCCTGCAAGTATAAAAGTTGCATTACAGATATATTCTCAGCAGGCTGATGGTTATCAGTGAAATGCCTCTTCATGTCTGATAACATGTTAATACAATAACAGAATACCTAAGAAGAGAGAACTTCTTACCAAATGATACTAGTTTTGCAGAACTAATAATACTAAGTTGATCTGATCAGAAAAATACATTTATAAAATGGTTCTTTCTGGATGTAATCCAGCTCAACTTGGTTTTGCCTCAAGATGTGCATTGCAAATGGCCTGAGTTCTAGAAATCTGGTCTTTGTTCTAGTGCTTAATAACTTCATCCCTATTTTGTGGATGAAATTGATTTAACGGTGGTTGATCTGCAAGTCACTGAAGATTCTGCCAAGCCCCTTTTTTTCTGCTATTTGCTATTCTGCTAAGTGGAGTGTCAAATGTTAATCCTTTCCACAATGAAATGTATGTTAGTTATCAAACACTTCAACATCTGCAGAGACTGACTTTTGGGATTTTTGTTTAAGTCATCCCTAGGCACCCAATGCCTTTTGCTGCTAAAAACATGTTTTATGATGAACGCTGGAAGGAGAAGCAGCAACGAGGTTTCACCTGGTGGTTAAATTTTGTACTTACCCCTGATGACTTCAGTGTAAAAACAAACACCTCGCAAGGTAAGAGTACGAGAATTTTCACTTTCTTTCAATGTTCTTAATTATTATATAAAGTATTTTATTAATATTAATGAACAGCAGTACTAGCTTAACACTAGTCCCAGCTTGTCACTTTAGTGTGTGTAACGTTAAGCACTTAGGTAAGAGTCAATTTTTGGTTTTTAAGTTTTACATATCACCCTTGTTTCCCTTTTCAGCCTTTGACTTGAAACTGTGGTAATCATAAACCAAATACTTGGGAATGTGTTTCAGTTGCAGTTATGCTAGAAAACATGGAATATGCTAAACGAAAAGTAGTTATCACATTGGAGATGGTACTGGCCATCCCAGCAGAATTTTACAACTATCTAACCCTTTTCAGAGTCATATTTTCTCATTGTGGTGAGTGTGGATGGCACACTTGCTTATGCCAAGCACAGTATACCACACACCTGAATGGGGAGTGAGCTCTACAGCAAGAAATACACACTGGAACGTGTAGCTGTAGCACTCCTCAGCAGGTGTTGAGTGGAGAATCCCCGTCTGCTGAAAAACATTGTAGCTGTTACTTTACTAAAATGATGGTAACATACTTTTTCCTCATTCTAAAATGTTGAAGATGATACAATTGATCTTAAAACTGAACTTCTAGCACTGCTCACTTATGAAATAATGTTGTTATATTAAATGTATGACTAATACTCATGTTGCTGACTATGTGTGTTGGGTGCAACAGCTGATAAGCTTCCTGAGGGATAAAATCATCAGTCCGAAGGAAATATAACAAAATGTGAACTTAGAGAGGAAAAAAAAAAAAATTAGGTGTGCAAAGCTACCTTTATTTGATATCTAAATGTATACTTCTTGTGTGTGTTTAAACAGTAAATGCAGCTGCTCTTATCTTGGGAGGAGAGAACCATCATAAAACCAGTGTTCCTAAAGCACCAACGAAAGATGAAGCATCTCTCAAAGCTTATACGGCTCATCGTAAGCTGAATAAGTTACGACGTGATGCTTGCCATTTGTTCACCTCTGAAACAATGGTTAAAGCTATTAAAAAGCTGGAACTTGAGATTGAAACTAGACGTTTGCTTGTTCGTAGAGACAGACACCTCTGGAAAGATTTGGGTAAGCATACTAAAACTTTGCATCCTCTCCTTTCTTGTAAGTGGAATAAGGAGTATTCACATGCTAAATTGATTTAATCTAATGTCAGTTGATAGAAAATTTTGCTATAACATGAAGTGTCTGCTTGGTGTAATATTACAAGGTGCTCTTTTGCAGGAGAGAGGCAGAAAGTCCTTAACTGGCTTTTATCTTACAACCCTTTGTGGCTGCGTATCGGTCTGGAGGTGAGTGCAGAATTTATGGTCTATAATCAAAGTTTAAATGACATCTACCTTTTTTTTTAGTAGGGTATGTTTCAGAATTTCAGTAATGTGTGTTATTAAAAAAAACCCTCATAGTTTTTAAGGTAATTTTTAATGGTCCTTCTTTTTTCCCTCCTTTCATATTAGACTATTTATGGAGAACTGATAGCTTTGGAGAGTAACAGCGATGTTACGGGTTTAGCAGTATTTATCCTTAATCGCTTGCTTTGGAACCCTGACATTGCAGCTGAATACAGACATCCCACTGTGCCTCACCTTTACCGAGAAGGTAACTGCTACTTCCAAAAAAAGGTTATTTTTAGCACTTAATTTTTGAACTATCACTTAAAAAGTTCTATCTTTTTAGGTCATGAAGAAGCTTTGTCAAAATTCACACTGAAAAAGTTGCTGTTGTTAGTTTGTTTTCTGGATAGTGCCAAACAGTCCAGAATGATTGACCATGACCCTTGTCTCTTTTGTAAAGATGCCGAGTTCAAGGTAAGAGATGTGATTTGATGTCTCCCTTCAAGATTGTCTTAAGACTCAATGTAATTTTTAATTTTTTTTTAATAAATCCAACTATGTACTTTTAACAAGTCTTGGCTAAGCAGTTTTTTACATGAACATTCTCAACACATCATTTCACAGTTGTGTAAAGGCATTGCCAAGAAAATGTTGAGGTGTTGATCCTGTAGGAAGGACTCCGCTATCTTGTGTTACCTGGCTTCTCTCTCTAAAGCTAAGCTTCTGTTTTACTTCAAAATATAGCTCTAGCATACTGCAGCTGATCTTAAACTGCAAGTCAGTTTGGGTTTTTCTGTTATCTTACTATGCAACATCTGTCATACAAAGGCTTTGGTTAACAAACAGGTTATGCTCAAATAAAATCACTTCTCTTGGGTTTGTACTATCTAGAAAGACAGACTGAGGAAAAAGTATTCCTGAGTTGGTGGTGCTTTCAATAATGTGGTAGCCAGGTAGGATGAAAAATTAAAGCTGTGTGAATGGGCTAAAAATAAAGTTTTAAAAATTACCATTTTAAGAATTAGGCAAGGAAATATGGAATACAATTTGTTGGTCAAGGGTTGAAAATTGTATTCTGTTTGACCAGTATTACAGTGTTGAGATTATATTTCTATTTTGTTTTGTTTTCTTTTAGGCTAGCAAAGACATTCTGCTCGCGTTTTCTCGGAACTTCCTGAGTGGTGAAGGTGACCTTTCACGCCATCTTGGTTTCTTAGGACTACCTGTCAGTCATGTTCAAACTCCGCTTGATGAATTTGACTTTGCTGTAACAAATCTGGCTGTGGACTTACAATGTGGCGTTCGTCTTGTGTGCGTTGATACAAAATTATTTTGAGCTATTAATTTCCTTTTATATAATACTCACTATGAGCTTAGCTAAATCATTATACTGTGAAATTCCCTTTTAGGAGAACAATGGAACTTCTCACCAAAAACTGGAATCTTTCAAAACAACTGAGAGTTCCTGCTCTAAGTCGTCTACAGAAAATGCATAATGTGGACATTGTTCTTAATGTCCTTAAAGAGCAAGGAATTAACTTGAAAGATGAAAATGGTAAGACCTACAAATCAAGGTTATTCTAAGAGCATCAGAGGACTAATTCCTTGCTCTAATTCCTTGTTTTATTTTATAGGTACTTCAATTGACTCCAGGGATATTGTGGATAGACACAGAGAACGAACATTAGCACTCCTGTGGAAAATTGTTTTTGCCTTTCAGGTATTATTCAATTACTTATTTTGTTTGTTTGTTTTTTACCAGTTATAAATGAGGAATAATGAAAACACCAGTCTCTCAGGAATATTTGTTGTCTGTGAAAGCCTCTACTAATCGAACTTTAGACTATGAAATTATCTGCTTTGTACATTCAAAGTGTCATGCAAACTTTACCGAAATCTGCTAACTGTTCCCTTACAATACTGTTTAGATAATGTTTTATCTGTGCTCTTTCTTATATACATTCATATGAAATTTTGGAGGAAACTTAACTTTTTATTTTATGCTCTATGCCAACAGAATTGATAATTAAAAGTAAAATAACGTTGGTCTCAAAATGCTGGAAGGCTTAACTCTGAAAAGGACGTTTTTGAGGTTACACCAATCGACAACTACAGACTAAGCTCTGAAGCTATAGCTCTTCTACTTTTTTCTATTTGTCTGCCACAGTCAATTTGGAGAAACATTATTGAAATAAGAATGAAAATTTCTTAGGCATTACTGCAATGACATTTCAAATTCACTGGAAAAAAATGGTAGAGGAAGCAAAAATAGTTTTCTTAAGACTGTTTTAAGAGTTAACTGAGTTGGATAGTCTTTTTGACTATAAGTATCCAACTGACAAATCCAGTTGGAAAGAACATAAAATGTGAGAGGTAAAATAAGGTGCAAGTTGACATGGAATTTCACCACTAAGTAGTCAGGAATGTAAGTACAATTAACTATATCTAAAGCAAGAATTTCAAAGACTAGTGCCACAGAGCTATCAGAGAGCCAGAAGAACATAATAAAAATCAAATATAACTATTTTCTTTTGCTAACTGCTTTTACAGTATTGAGTAGTTGCCCTCCCCTAGTTAGTTCTCCTGATGCATGTATCACAGCTGCATTGCTTTTGATTAAATAAATAATTTCAGTGAGCAGTGGCTTTATCCAAGCCCTGTGTACATGCTACTTGTTCTCCAGATCTTCTCACACTATCACATCACTAGCTCAAGTCCTCTCAGAATCCCTTACGTGAGGAGAAGTGGTACATGGACTCAGCAGAAATGCAGATGAGACTCAGAAATTGTTTTCTCTAAAAGTATGGTGAAATTGCACAGGCTGTTTCAGGGAACTTCTCTGCTTCTCCTAACTATTCACTAATTAATTAACTGTTTAACACAGAACAGTGGGAGTGTGGGTTTATTATCTTCTATCTGAAGCAGATTGGTAGTGGACAGTGCCATCTATGCTAGTAAGTCCAGATTATCCACTACTGATTCAGTGTGGCAGGTACTGCGAAGTAGCGAGAGTAATTTCTCTTGAAAGTGCCCTATCTAAAGCTTGTGCATCTAGCTGCTACAATGTGTGATGTGTTAAACAGATGTTGACATAAATAATTTTTTTTCCCCTAATAGGTGGATGTTTTTCTTAATGTGGAACAGTTAAAAGAAGAAATTGAGCTTTTAAAGAATGCACACAAAAGAAAAAGACAATTGGGTGCTCTCAAGACTTTTACAACACATTGTAGAGTACAAGAAGGTAATAGTAGCAACTCCTCACCTCAGTGTTACAAGGAAAATGTGAAGCTGCTGATGGCATGGGTGAATGCTGTTTGTGGATTTTACAATATCAAGGTAAATAGTTTTGGTTACATTTCAACAAATATATCCTTTGCTTTCATAAGAATAGTTATTCTTTACAGAGGACATTTCAACTACCAAAATATGTAGTAGCAGCCAATGGGAATTAGTTTTAAATACCCTTCTGGACTTAGTTATTTCAAATCAGATTAAACAGTCTTTCTGTGATTTTTTTAGCTGCAGCTCTCTTTTTAAAGAAATTTTGAGCAGAAGGATATCTCCTTCCAGTTATTCTTAGGCATAAAAATGCCTTTTAAAAATATAACATTTTTGCTGGAATATGGGGAGGTTTGAGTCTTTTTAATGTGCATTCATCCTGCAAGTATTTGTGCATAAAATTTTCACCATTTATAGGAACTTTGAGAATTAAACTAATGTTTGGGCTAAAGGAGATTCTTCCTCTTAAAGATGCTTGTTTAGAATGGACGTGTTTGTTCCTTCCAAGAAGAGAAGCCTTGTTCAGAAACTTGTCTCTGGTCAAAATACAGTCACACCTGCTATTTTTTCTGAAGGACAAGATAGAGCACTTAAGACTGATGCAAATTCAGAGCTTATTTCTGCACTGTATACCTAGTGTAAAGGTATCTATAGAAGTTTCTCAAAGGAAACTAGAAAGATTGCTTTCTTTTATGCTTCTTAAATGTTTCCCTTGGAGATTCACTGTATAGCGATTCATACATTTGTTTCTGGTTTCTCACAGCTTTGTCACTGTACAGTGAAAGATCAAAGGAAGCACCAGTTTCATAAATATTTTTGTTCAAATACATTTGCACTTGGTCACTTTCAAAGGTACAAGATAACAGATTCTATATTCAGCTTATACCAACTAACCAGTAACAGAAATTGAAGGAACTTCTATTCTATTTAACAGGTGGAAAATTTCACAGTGTGTTTCTCAGATGGTAGAGTATTATGTCATTTGATTCATCATTATCATCCATGTTATGTGCCTTTGGAAGCTGTGTGCCAACGTACAACTCAAACAGTAGAACGCTCAAGAACTTATGCAGTGGGACTAAACTCTTCCTCCTCTTCAGAGTCTGATACTTCTCTAAATGTTATAGAAGGAATATTTGACCAAAGTAAGTTTTATTTTATGCACTGAAAATCATGTTAAATCTATTTCTCTTATGCACAATTTGATGTGATAAATATTTTCTCTTTGCAAAGCTGTAACTGCTTCAGACCTATACAAGGAACTCTTGGAAAATGAAAGGAAAAACTTCCAGCTGATCAATAACGCAGTTGCTGACCTAGGTGGAATACCTGCAATGATTCATCACTCAGACATGTCAAGTACAATTCCTGATGAGAAAGT